GCAGAGACCAGCAGTGGCAGCACTGTCGTGGCCCTCAAGGGCACTCCCTCCCAGCCTAGGGCATGGCTCCCCTGACCTGCCCAAGTCCACCCAGGACAGCAAGCAGGGCTCCTCTTACCTGGGCAGTATCCATCTCGTTCAGCATCACCACAGAAGAGCAGTTATAATCGAACACCAACCTCCAGAAGTCTGCCACCGTGTTAGGGAGAGGGTGCTGGGTGACCACGAAGGCGGCGGGCTGCTTGTGGCTCTGACAAAGGAACGACACAGGCTTGGTGAAATGCACATCAATCAGTGATATTCTGATGATGATGAGGCCCGCAAGGCTGTCAGAGGTCCCCGAGCCTGCCAAACAGATTACACAAAGCACCGGCCTGTTTCTTATCTCTCGGTGCCCTGACAGCGAAGGGGACCTTCTCATAATGGACTTATTCTCCTCCAAACTAAGACATTTCATTAGGAAAGTGTCACTCGGGTGGGGATTATCCAAATACATTATTTATGTGTTGGAACTCGGCAAATAATAGTCATTAGAATATGAAATGAAAGACTCCACATGCAGATTTGCTTCTCTGCCAGCCAAGATACCTTCTGGGATATTAGGGCTCATCTGAGTCCCTGTGCCCACAGTGCTGGTGGGGGGCAGGCCCAGGTAAGAGCTTCCTGAAAGAGCTTATCGTTCAGAGGGCTCACTCCTTCCCCAAGACTGGAATTAGGGCTTAGGTGGCATAGGCGGGCACTGCATCCTGTGAGGCAATGGGGCAGTAAAATGTGCCCACGTTTTACAGTCAGGCAGACCTGAGGTTCAAACCTTAGCTTTGCCACTTGTAGGCTATGAGTCATTCACCCATCCATCCATTTATGCATACATGCATCCATTCATTCAAGCATCACTTGTAGAGGTATTTTTTTTTTTTTTGAGCTAAGCACTGACAAGTTACTAGAGCTCTCCAAAGTTCAGGTTCCTTATCTGTAAAATGGGAATCATAACCCCAAAAGAATGGTTGTTGCACAGATTAAATGAGATTTACATGTAAAAAGGTTGGCAAGTAGGAGCCTGACTGTGAGCCCATTAGGAGGGGGGAAGAGGCTTGACTTAGTTCTCCATCCTTGGCATCCAGCATTGCAGCCAGCACACAGAAGACACTCAGTCCTTGTCCAACAAGCAAATGAATGCATTCAATCCCATTGCACAGATGGGGAAACTGAGGCCCAGAGAAAATGGCCTGTGTGAATTCAGACTATATCTGAAGTTTGACTGGGCCCTACTTATCACATTACCCTGCGAGGAGGTATCTGGAGAGACTGAGGAGCTTCTCCACTTCTTTAAGGGGTTTGTGAAACCTGAGAAATATCCCACATTCTTAACAAGCTTTCTTCGGAGATAGTTCCTGTGGGAGTCACGGCTGCTTTCAGTGGAGTCACAAGTCAGCAGGGAGATGGGAACAGAAACCAGGGACGAGGTGGGGAGGAAAGAGGGGCCTGTCCATCCAAACCAGGCGTAGACCCTGGCAAAAGA